CCTACGGCTACCTGAAATCTCACCACTATATGATCACAACTCTTCCTTTGAAATACACAAAAACCAGTATAAACCCTAGCACACTACTGTCTGAAACCCTAGCATATGGTCTGAAACACACTTCCTATTTGATCCATAACAGATATCATGCACAAAAATTTCTTACCTTATCACTGAAGGAACAACCACACGAGTAGGAAATCAGTCCACACAAGACAGCCACTGCACCACACAGATCGGCCCTCTATTCTTCATTGATTAGGGGAGGGCGATCTTAGAAACCACAGCAACTGACCACACAAGACCTGACTGGAGGCATAGAAACCTCCAAGGGAAGAGGGCGATCACTCCTTTTCAGCCCTTTCCCTTATCTCCAGTCGAATGCAGAAAAATCGAGAGAAACCCTAGATAGGGTGCGCAGAGAATAGAAATCTAGGCAGACAAAAATCTAGGCAGATTCAAGTAGCTCTGATACCATGTTATGATTCGGCTTGCCTTGGAGTTCTATCTGTCTGAGATCGGTTATGTAGAAAGAGGTAGAAAGGTGGAAGAAAGAGAGAAAGAGAGAAAGGAGAAAATCTGGTTCGAACTAGAAGTCTCAAGCTAGCTCTCCCAGTCGGCCAGACAGTACTTTTATTATTAAAAATAAATGGATAGACATATGTGCCCTTATTTAAGTAAGGAGCACTGGTTCTAACACAACATTACAAATCAGCAACATTAATTTAGGTATAAAGACGGAAATACCCCTACGCTAACACATGTCAATTGGAGATGTATTGATTCTGTGTTGCAACACATGAATTTTGGGTAGAAATGGAGGAATTGGATCAAAGTATGTATAACCTCTTCTAAATTCTTAGTCTTGATTACTGGTCAGTCAGCAGGTTTTTTGACAGTTCAAGGGGTTTGAGACAGGGTGATCCCCTCTCCCCCTTGCTCTTTATTTGTGTTATAGAAATTCTTGCTTTTTTTTGCAAGAAGGCAGCTGATTTTGGTTATTGGGATGTGTAGAGAACATTGATGTGGGCCCCACAACTGTGGTACCACTCTGTCCGTAGGGTAGAATGTATCTAGTCACAGCTGTGGTTATTTTGTTGTTCTGTTATTTCTAGTTTCAGTTTTATATTGGTTGYTRTTTGTTARYAGYTATGATGTAAACACCAAGGGCAGATATGTCCTTTCATGTAACTAGCATAACCTATATATATTAACTTAAAGTGGCGGCGACAGAATATTGACATTCTGTTCTTCTCCTCAAAATCTGTGTT